CAATGTAGATGGGATTCCCTTCCAGGTGGATACAGGGGCACAGGTATCCATGACCCGGAGAGACCTAGAGACTGAAGGGTACTTGAATGTTCAACTGGCTAGTGGAGCAGTGGAAAAAATGCCATGTGGAATTTGGAAAAATGTGAAATGGTTAAAAGGACCTTATAGTTTGGTGGCGGTCAAAGACTTGAAGATCCTGCATGACCCCGAGGAAGCTAGGAAATCAGAAGGGAAAAGATTGGAGATGTTAACATCAAAATCAATAAAAAATAAGCCCCTCAGTCACCACAACATGGTACAAACCAGTGGATGTCCCTGAAGTAACAAAACAAAAGTTGGAAGAAAAAGATTTGTCTCCGGAAGGAAAGATTAAATTAAAACAAATAATTGAATCAGCCAGAATTGCTCGCTTCAAAAATGACTGCAGAGACTTAGGCACAAAATTTTGCCATCATATCATAGGAGGGGTACACCCACCTGTAAAACAGTACCCTCTCCACCCAGAAACAGTGGCAGAAATGGACAAAATTGTAAAAGAGCTGCATGCACTGGGAATCATCAGAGAAGAGCCAAAACCCCTCACAAATAGCCCTATTCAGGCTGTGAAGAAACCTGAAGCGGCAGGAGGAGGCTGGAGGCCAGTGATCAATTTCAAGGCCCTAAACCGGAGAACTGTTGCAAATCGAGCCAGTCTCATCAAACCCCAAGGTGCATTAAAAACACTGAGTTAAAAAGTACAAATCCTGCATCGACCTGGCTAACGGGGTTTTCTCACTCAGTTTAGCCCGTGAATCACAAGGAAAAACAGCTTTTACCCACAAAGGAAAAAGCTATGTGTGGCAAAGACTGCCACAGGGATAAAGAAACTCACCAAATGTATTCCAATCAGCCATACTGGAAATACTTGAAGATGTTGGAGCTTCAGTGTACATCGATGACGTTTTCATTGCAGATGACACTGAAGAGGAGCACCTTAAACGTCTGAAAGAAGTGGTTAAACAGATCTCTGCAGCAGGCCTCAAGCTAAACCTGGCGAAATGCCAGTTTGGCCACTTTAAAGTCAACTACCTGGAGTTCCAAGTCACCATAGACTTGGGCTTATCAGACGGTCATAGAGAGAAAATTCAACAAATACAACTCCCCAGATGCGAAAAAGATCTACAGAAAATCTTAGGCCCGTGCAACTATGTGAGAGATCACGTAYCAAATTACCAGAAGTATGCAAAAACCTTGTACGCATGCCTGAAAAAAGAGGCTACGACAGAGGGCTGCAAAGGAAAAGCATGGTCATGGACACCCAAAAACCAAGATGATCTTGACAAACTGATAGAAGAGATCCAGAAAGCTGTCAGACTTGAACCTAGAAACCTGACCTCTAGGCTGGTGGCAGAAATATTCTGCGAGAACGAAGATGCCATGGTCAAATTGAGCAATGACCAAGGAGGCCTAMTCACATTGTGGAGCACAATGCTGACAACAGTGGAGAAAAAATACCCCCAARAAGAGAAGGAACTGGCAGTGTTAAAATATTGGGGGTCACTGAAAGAGCAGGCCCATGGTCAACCCATCAAAGTCACGACTCAAAGCCAGGTGCACAAATACCTGAGAAAAGGCACCATCGAGAGCACAAGAGCAACTAACACCAGATGGGGCAGATGGGAAGACATTTTGCAGGATCTAGACCTAGAAATAGGCCCGGCACAGTTACAGCAAAAGAAGCCTACTGCCAGTCATACTGAGGATAAAAAATATGACTGGGTGCTCTTCACAGATGGATCAAGAAAAGGCCCTGACGAAACATCATATTGGGGTTACATCTTGATACAAAATGGGAAAGAACAACACAGAGCAAGAGGAAAGGTGAGTGGAAGAGCCCAAGCTGGAGAAGTGACAGCGGTTTTRGAAGGGTTGCTGGAACTCACCAAGAGGAAAGTCAAGCCCGCAAGGGTAGTAACTGACAATTACTATTGCACACAGGCCTTGAAAGAAGTCTTGTCCATCTGGATTGAGAATGGATTTGAGTCAGCCAGAGGAAAAACTGTTGCCCACAAAGAACTTTGGGAAAAAATAGCCTAGTTAAGGACACAAATCGACTTAAGACGTGGAGCACCAAAAAGCGCACACAAAGGAAGGATCTTACTGGGAAGGTAACGACGAAGTGGACAGGTTTTTCCAACAACAGAAACGTCTTGATTGGAGCAGAAAAGTGGAACGTTACTCCTAAAGGAAAGGAGGTTCCAAAAGAGTACGTGGCGGAGGTAGTGGTAACCATGCATGAGGCTCTAGGACATGCTGGGCTGCTACCCACACGTAGAGGACTGGTAAAGCAGAACTTATGGATCCCTATGAAGCAGMTTCAGCAAGTACTCAGACGCTGCATGGAATGTGGGAAATACAATGCAGGAAGTAGAGGAAAAAGAACTGAAGGCCTCACCATCAAAAGCACAATCCCATGAGGCTCAATATGCATGGACATACAGTAGCTGGGCCCATAGGGGTCACAGGGACCAAGGGTGAGAAATATCTTATTGTCCATGTAGACTCAATGTCTGGCTTTATGGTGGTGAGACCTGTCAGGAAAGCCAAYGGGAATAGTGTTGTCTCCATGTTAGACTACACATGTGCCTGTTTAGGCATTCCTCGAGAGCTAYGAACCGACAATGGAAAGCATTTTAAAAATGTGCAAGTGAACAGGTGGCGTGAGCAACATGGGGTGATGAGGGTATATTCACCGCCATACACGCCACAGGCCAACAGCGTTGCTGAACGTACCATCGGTTTGGTCAAAAACTGGCTAGCTAAAAATGCTAACTCAAAGGAATGGAGCCTCAAGTCCGTCAACATAGGCCGAGCCCTCAACGACTGGGACTGAGCAGGAGCAGGAAGGCYGTCCCCTTCTGACGAACTAAACCAGTGTCCCTTTGTTACTGAAGAAACAGGGAGGAGTCAGGAGGCGGACCCAGCCCCCTTAGAGGCATGCCCATTCGCTGTGGGACAGAAGGTGTGGCTTAAAGCCAGAGAACAACCCAGTACGGGGGCAGTAAAGCCAAAGTATGAAGAGGTTGACACTGTGACTAAAGTGTTGGACCAGAACACAGTGCTGCTGAAGAAGAAAGGAATCCAAGRAGTTGAGCAGCTGAAACCAGTCCTAGGTTAAGGAACCAGAAATGAAGATGGCCATGGATCTCAGTAACTCTCCACTGCCCTATATTCGACTGGCCACGAWTAACGGGTTGGTAATCATGAGAACCACATTGGGTATTTGGGTTGGCAGAGCCCTAAAGACCCTAGAATATGCAAAAATAGGTAATCTGTCACCGGATCCAGAGACAGTGGAATGGAACCACTGTAATGTGGGATGTGTGGTTTGCCTGCAGGCAGGAGACTTTGAGACTGCCTGGGTTGGACCAGGCCACAAGAAACCACTCTCCCCTCCACGGTCAAACGCTGACCTCATTGGAATCAGGAGAAGCCCAGTGACAGTGCTGGATACCTTCATCTGTGGAACATGCAGAGTTGACACTCTGCCCAGAATTACCTGTGTCGTCCAATGGGACCGCAAAGGAGTGTTGCCCGAGGGATGTGGTTGTTCGTGGGATGGTCACCAACTGGAGTGGTGTCCCTTATCTTCATCCCTAGGCTGCCATCGAACCCTGGTCCAAGCGGCTGAAGCTCGTGGATGGCAGGTGCGGCGGCTCTTCTACCCTCTCAGGTACTTAACACCAGATGAGACCGCTGACGCTGTTGCATCCTCCATGGGCCTCGGTCCCCTTCTCTACCCTGAACTCTTCTGTGATCCCTCTGCACCCCCCTTGGATCCTGTCACTGATGAGAAGGAGGAGGGAGACACGAAAGCACCCGAGGACCTCTGCTGTGACTTGTTGGATGAAACCATAGACAAATCTTGGCYCTTTCAAGCGGCCGGGATTCGTGCGGGAAGGCCCTTGCTGGGACTACATGAGTACCCTTTGGTTTTCAGGGTTTATAGAGAACCCTTAACATTGGCCCTCAGACCTGACGACAGGCCAGATGATGTAAAAGCGACTGCACAAGAAGGCAGCTGGGAAGGACCCTGGGAGCTCACCACATGGGCCTCCCTAATAAAACAGGTTATCCAGAAGCAGTTCATCCTGCTGATAGACCTCCCACCTATCCCTCGTGAGGAGAGGGTCAGAATGTCTGACATGTACTACTACACCACCAACATTGATGCTTGGTGTCCTAGAGGAGCTTGCCCCAAGCAAAAGGTGGCAACATACACCATCACCTCTGAGGCGTGGAATTGGCAAGGAGTTCTACAGATTCCCGGGAACGTGGCTCAGAGAACTCCAATTCCTATCCGCCCTGATTCCACTTACAAAGTGCAGGTCGCAGTTCAAATGGTGATGGTCCCCCTTAAAGGGGTTTATTCCATTGGAGCCACGATCACTGTTCTTGGACGACATGGTGAGGTGGTCAACACAGCTGAGGCTCCTGCCCCACCACCTCGCCGCCACTCTGGCTTGCTCTTTAGAGCCCTAACCCGCATCCCCTCGCGGTTGCGCAGGGTGAAGAGCGAGACAGAATAAATTAATGGTGTTCCAGTGAGACGTACGGTTTCCCCTTCATTCGACTTATGATATATTTTTTTCTTTCCTTGGGATTGGCTGTGGGATGATTGACCTCAATAATCCCAGGAGAGGGGGTGGGGCCCTGAAGATGAGGAAGGACTGATTGTAACCACACCCCACCAGAGGAGAACCCCCCCTCCCCCATAAAGATAAAAAGCCTGTCTGTGAGCTGCACAGTAACAGAAAGAAGATGGAAAGGATCACCTACATGTCACAGACCCAGGAAGACCCAGAGGACAATGACAGGGAAACCGACCTCACCAAAAAAAAAAAAAAAACCCTCCCAAACACAGATGCGGCTGCAGCTGTAAAAAAGAAGCCATGTCTGCAGACTGTTTTAAGGCTTTTAGCTTTGTTTCTTGCTGTTGCTTTAATTTTATCAATTTTGTACCAAGTAGGATACCAACCATGGAAAGTCACTCATGCCAGAGTTTCATGCAAACACAAAATATGGAAATTTGACTTGCTGGAACACCAGCGCCTGCAAACTCTTCATGCCCTGGGATGCCAACCAAACTTCTGAGAATCAAACTGAYTCCTGGAACAGGATAAAAAGAAGGGGTCATGAGGCATGGCGAGATAACCTGAACAATTAGAAGGCCTGGATAGATGAACTGGCACGACAAAACTTCTCGTCGGACCACAGATGGACAATCTCAAATCTACTGGCAACTAAAGACGGATTGGTTGTGTGGGTTAAAATATTAGAAGGCCATGAGACTAAAACGACTAAGTGCAACTGGATACAGCCAGAGAGAGAACCACCCGAATGGCACTGCGATTGGGGATGCAGGCCTCTGCTGGGCCTAGCGCACCAAGGATACTGGCAATATGAAGCTGTATTTCCAGCACCCTACAAACACATATTCTGCCCGGCCATACTTCCAAAATGGGAGTTTTGGGGACACTATGACCTCAAATGTGACAAAATCCCAGTCACAAATAGAACCAGAATTAGACCACAAAGAAAGCATCCGACAGCCTATAAAAAAATGGTACAGAAGGTCCCCAAGTACAATTGGCAATATAACGGCGCACAAAGAGACTACCAATGCAACGGAAATTGAAGCACAAACCACTCCGGCCCCGGCCCAGGACCCAGAGAAATACAACACCGTGGATGAATGCATAGCAGACATCACACGCCTCGACTCCTGTATCTGGAACACGTGGGCAAAATGTAAAGGCCAAAAGTTTTTACCCCTGGGTCCGCTGTGGTTCCAGACTTACTGTTATACCAGCTACAGATCAATTTTCAGTCCTCACAGGGCTATGCATGAGGAATGGCTAAACTTCACCTTCCCATGGATATGGATCAAAGAGAATGTCGTCCACTATGAAGGAGATTTCCCGGAAGGGTCTACTAGGAACCGGGGAGAGTTTAAAGGCCTTTACCAGTCACACATGTATGTCCAAAAATTGCCCACTGTCGAAGAGCTAAAATCAATACCCAAAGGAGATTTTGACAAAATAGACAAATGTGTTGCTAGAAGAATTTTACTCAGCCTCAATGATTCTGAATGGGAAGGACATGGGGCTTCCCCTAGATGTAAACTGTGGCAGGTTGATATCTCCTTTGTGTCAACATGGAGGTATGACTGCACAGGCATCCTGAAATACAACAGCACCAAAGAACTGCTACAAGGATGGGTCGAAGGACATAGCAGAGATAAAACTCGGACATGGTGGGGATTTCAAAGAGAAGAAATGGAACATTGGGTGATCCCCTGCTTGTCCCAATTCGACAATTATTGGGTAAAATATCAGTATATAGCAATGGTGTACTCAAAAGAGCATGATATAAGGTCCTCTATAATTTACAGACCGGACAGGTATGTCAGCCCAAGACCATGGAAAGTGACCTATATCAAAAGTGGGAACACTTGCACAGTAAGTCTAGCACGAAGATCCTGCAGTGAACTACCAGGCTGGGAAGATTATTGTAGAAGTTTTTATGCAAACGAGTATCATACTCATGAAGCTGCAACAGTATGGACCAAGGCACGACCGACAACTTATAGAAAATTGATATCAAATGCAACCAACCCATATGGACCAAGGCACGACCGACAACTTAYAGAAAATTGATATCAAATGCAACCAACACATGGCGTCGAGACATGGCCCGCGATCACTGTATTAATGCCATCATAGGACCCCATATGAAGTCCCGGAACAGTATTGCTGGTGAAATTATCCCCTCAGTTCCCGACATTACGACCACAATAGCAGAGAGTCACGCCTTCAGAAGAGGGCTGTGTCTAGGCCTCGAAGAGGAAGTATTTGAGTGGGTAGGGCCGAACCTACTCTATTCTAACCTCACATGCAAATACCCAGAAGAAGTTTGGAAAAAATGTGGTCCGGATTCCGACAAACACACCTGTGTGTAAGAAACCCTGCACACAACGGCCCTCAGAGAGGTAAAAACCCTGGCAAAAGGAGCCATTGAAATTGTTGACGAAGGAGCAGGAGCAGTTGAGGAAGGTAAGGTGGAGTTGTTGGAAAAGATTTGGCCGTACTGCCTGACAGTCCTTGGCATCCTGATTGCTACTGTCCTGGCACGCCTGGCTCTAAGAGAATTGTGTCTCAGAGCCCTGCCCCCAAGGGTGGGGGGGGTGAATACAAGCCCCTTCCCCAAGGTCGAGAGTAATTGATCCTATAAAAAGCTGGGAGCACATAGCCTCAGTACACAGTATTGCTATCGCTTTCCTTAAACGCTGCAGAAACGCTACAAATGAAGATTATTATGGGAAAGGGATAATGGGGGAGAGGAGCTCCGAAGATCAGTGTGGAAATAGATCCAATCTATCCTGAAGAAATTCTAATTTTGGATTATCACGTTTGTCCTTATTGGTTCAACTGGTTCAACAGAAGATATCGAATGTCATCTAGGATAAATTTGTTGGAAATGACGGCCGGGACAATGAGAATAATCACCGCAAATCAAGACTCATTCCTCTATGAAATAAGAGGCCACCATTTTCAAAATTGACTACAAAGCCAAAAGAGGAGGGGACTACAAGCTCCGCCCCTAAGGAGGGCGCTGGTTCCCTATAAAACAGGCTACGCTGAGACAAAAGAGGAACAACCCCACTGGACCTGGACGAAGACACAAGAAGAGGAACAACTGCAGCACACCATGGCTTCTACCAAGCTACCTACCACACCCGACGTAAATCCCACTTTTAACTCATCCATGCAGCATACCCGCTCACTGAGACCCAGGGATCCTCCCTTGGCTGTATCACTGGCTGAATACTATGCGATAATGTTTGCATGGTTCTGCTACTGCACAATGGGGAAATGGACTCTCAAGCAACCGTTGAGAATTCTTATCCTGGCCATGTCAATGGGTCAGGTTGCAGATGGCCGCCTTTTAGGCCGACAAGAAGTCGCACTCTCTCTGTTCGTCTCCTACATCCTGGGGAGAGCGAAGCCACTGCAACCCCGGGTGGCTGCTTTACTTCTCTTATGGTTGYTTATTGAGTTCGTGGTAAAAGGCATTGAATGGGTCAGACGAGCACCATTCTCCCGCTTTGYCCCGGAGTACATCAACCTGGCTGTCTGGGAAGGTATGCTGGCCATGAGTGTCATCTTCGTCATCGGTCGTGAAACCTGCTGCATAACATGTGGGAAGGTAGCCTGGTTCCTTCAGTTCCTCCGCCTTGCTCTGTGGGGCATAGCCTGGGGCGTTTATTCAACTTTATATTGGATGGGACTGATCAGCGAGTTATCGATCCTTGCCTGGTTCATGACTTATGCTGCCCTCCTTCCCGTGGCTGTCTCAGCTGAACAAGCCTCACTCGAACAACCTCCTCTTCCTCCAAGAAATGCGCCAATCACCACCCAGCCTAGTAGGGCTCGGCCGCGCCAGTGCTGGGTTAATCCTCCCAATTTGCCTCCCTTCGACGCCTCTCTCTACCACAATTGCCCCCAGTCTCAAGATGATTAACTTTTTTTGCTTTTTGCTGCATTTAAGCCACATTTTTGTGATTTTTTGATTTTGTGTTTTAATACAACTTATTGTTGCGTCGGCGCTTTAAGTTGTAAAATGTATCATGTTCACTCCTAACCTCCTTCACCCCTGTGTTCTGATAGGTACAACATTGTACAGACTGCGGGAAGAGTTTAAGGGAGTTCCCATACCTTTGGGAATAACTCAGGGCTGCGTGGTGCACTCCATGCTACGCCTCCTACTTTGGAATCCCGGTGGCTACGGCCATCATACTGAGAGAAGGGATCCAAAGCTGCCCCCGAGCCTCATGCTGCACAAGGATGGACAACTGGTCCACAGTGCTCTGCAGAACCCGAGCCTTCCTGAACCCATTGTAACTGTCAATGTTCACCAGGCGTGTACTATCCCCCTCATCAAGAGGACCTGGAAATCTCTCTCCACTAATCGCAAGTATATCAGCCTTCATACTCCTGATTATGCCATAGTGGATCTGCACGTCAGCCAACCTGCTGACGAAGTGAGTACCGTGCAACAGGCTGTGGCCGATCCACCACGCCAGCACACCCTGCCAGGCTCATCCCCTGATTCCATGACTGATCCTGCTCCTCAGGACATGTCATCACTGCAAGATACCCTCCATGACTCCGACCTTCTTGCCTGGTTGATGATGAGTCTAAGGATGTACTAGGTCACGGCCCTGCACCGGCTCTGGAGACTATCATTTTGGATCCACCTTCTCCACGGTACAGCCCATCCATGCCGGATCTCTCCCCTACACAGGTCTCAGCCGGTGGCAGATATATCTGCTGCAGACAATGCAGCCCCCCCCCCCCCCACCCAACAGGCCCCACTGACCTTCTAACCCTCTCCCCTGGTCCATCTGATTTTGACCTCGAACTGGCAGCTCCACGCCCCGCTTTGTCTGGTACTACAGACACAACCCCTTCATCGGCTTGTGGAAGAAATCCGCCCCTCTACCTCTATCGAGGCATGTTTGGGCCCACCAGTTGCAGAAAAGAGCGTTGGAAAACACTCCCCGCCTGCCCCCTTTACCTCTCACCAGCGGAGAGAGACCAGCACTGGCAGAACCTCATATGGAGTCGCGGTGGACAGGGCAGTAAAAACCTGGCATCAGCCTAAGGCCGAAGGGTATGACAAAAGATGCCGACCAAACAAGATGGGGCTTCCCAAGACCCACACCCCCTTCACTTGGCCAGGACCCCCTGCGCCTCGTCCCCATTATCCACCCTATGTCCCAGCCAAGATCCAACCACTGATAACACCCTGCTCTTCTTTGTCGGGCTCCTAGGCCTGATTCCAAGGAGAAGGTGTCAAGAAACCTGGCTACACCAACCATCCCAAGAGTTGGAATCAGGCCAGCTGAGCCTCCTTTTGACTCCCAACAGAGAGGAGGACGGGACAGGAAAAGGAGCCTCAAGAGGGACCGAGATGCAGGCCAGAGGGAAAGGAAAATCAAGAAGAAGAGAGAACAGGAATAATAATTATTAATTTTGATCAGTTATAGTGCTGGCAAATAGATAACAAGAGTAATAATTATATGCTTTTTGCAAAGTATGATTTAACTAATGTACTGTGATAATCAATGTGTTTTAATGTAAGATGGTGATTTAGAAAGAAGTGTTATTGTATGTCTTAAAATGAAGGAAGGGTGTGTGTGCTATTTTGGATGGTAGAAGTACAAACAGTACTTCTGCAAAACAGAAAAAAGCAGAAGTGGGTTTTTTCTGGAATGTCCCAGAGGCCCTGTGGTAAAAAAACAAGGTGTTTTTTTTAACTCACCACAAAAAGTCCCTGACAGTCCTATTRCCAGAATCAGCACGATTACTTCATTCTGGGAAGTACAAAAAAGTCCATGGTGGAAAGCCCCAGCCTTACCACAAGGGGGGTGAGCGGGCCCAAAAGCAGTATAAAAGAGAAGCAGTTTCAGCAGTAACTCATCTTCTGGCCCCGACTGGAGAAGAGGCAGCAAGAAGATGAGGACAGCCCAAGAAGAGGAGCAAACAGATCCAAGAGACATCTCATCTGGGACATGCTGACACACTTCTCTCCAGCGATCTACAGACCGAAGACCAGATTAACACAGCCCAGCTCTGAGAAGTCTTTTTTTAGGCAACAATCTGATGCTTTTCATGGAGGTAATGCCAACACTGCTCCAACCTGTCCTGCCGTCCAAAATTAACTGAAAATGCCACACAACCTAGTCATAAAGTTAGGTCAGCGCCTTAGAGCCTTTTATTTTTGTAGCATTTTTCCTGCATATAATTAATAATTTCTTATTAGATTTAACTGGTTCTATGACTGCTTAAAGGAAGAAATCATATCCACTTTAACTTCAGACTTTTTCCAAGGATTTTGCATGGAACTTCCCTTTGTGGCCCTAATTAGCATCTCTCGCAAACCCCCCACTAGACTTTGCGAYGCCTCAGCAGTCAAACTGAAAGAATTTACATTCTGATATGTCCTTGTGCTTCCACCCCCATAAGGACTGCCTGCCTATTCTTCTTCAAAGGGAAGGACCATAAACGCCTTTAACCAGACTCCAGTGACTTGAAACAAAGGAACTTACATTCTTCATTAAATGTGAAAAAAAAGAAGGAACCAGATTGAATGTTTTTATACAACTGTCTGTTTTTATATCAAAGAAATGTGAATTTACTTTTCTTTTATGGAAAGAACAAAACCCATTGAAGCTAACTGTGTGGGGGTTTTTTTTTGGTGAAGTGTTTTCCTAAGAAGATGTTTCTTTTATTTCATGATTTTAACTGTGTTTTATTCCATGATTTAACCCTTGAATTTTAACTAAATGTGACATTCTTATTTTACTGAAGTAAACAGATGTCTCACCCTTTAATTAGATGCAAGATAACTAAACTAAAACACTCCCTTTTTCTTTGTCCTAAAGTGAAGTTTTCCCTCCAAAACATTTGATTTGTTAAAAAACTTTTCTTGTATAAGGTGT